GGTATAAATGGACCGGACTGTTCATAATCTTGGGGTGGTGTGCTATGTGACAATGTATCTTGATTTTTTAATGTATTCAAATTTTGCTTATTTTCCTCATAGCATGTAGTGTTCTTTTGCATACGAGACATACTTCTTTGAGGCAATCTCATCTATTTTTATTGATCAGTTTCTTCAGTCTTAGGTAGAGAGTTATGGGGAAAAAAATTCTCAAGCATCAGCCTCAGCAAATCTGTTTTCAACAACTTTCAACAGCCAAAATGCTTATGTGGACAAATTTATTTATAAAGATCTTTAACTTTATATTACTGATCCAAGGAGACTGGGTGCTCAAGCATACTTGACCTTAAATTAAACAGCAAAAAGTTTTCCATCTGACTCCATTGAGTATAGTGTGTACTGATCTCAGCTTGTAGAAAAAAGGAAATGAATATAATGAAAAACCCATGTCTAAATATTCATCTATTCTATGTTTCAGGTTTGGTCTCTGTTCTCCAGTGAAGAGTTGAAAATGTTTGAGCTGGGCACTGCTGTCACCTCTGTAGTAATGGATCACAGCGAACTCACCTTGTATGCAGGAGATGCCAATGGAAACGTCTTCTCTATTGATTTACACCACAAAGTAATTTGATTGACATTTTTGTTTCTTTTGTTTTGTCTTCTCTATTGATTTACACCACCAAGTAATTTGATAGACGTTTTTGTTTCTTTCAATAGATGATAGATATACTAACCTTCTCATACTTAGAAATATGGTGAAATGTCAACATAATAAGAAGGAAAGAACTTTACTCTCTTCCTTCAGTTCAGATAAACTTTACTTACTATTGTACTGTCTTTCAGAATTTGAAAAAAATTTTTTTTTCTTTTTTTTCACTTTTCTTTTCTGTTTTCTGTTATTGTTAGGGTAAGGGATTAAGTGCTGCTATCTTCGCTACAAGTGTTCATGTTAACTCAATTTGTTTTCCTAAGTATTACATTGTTTTTCTGAATTTTTATTTCCCCAGCCAGCTGTTAGATCAGTTCACTTAGATGTGAGAGAACCAAGTGATGGCTTCATTGTCTATCCAGCACATTCGTAAGTGTTGATATTTTCTGTACAATGAAGCTCTTATTGTGGGGGGATGAAGGATCCTATGAAAGTCAGGATTTCCACTATGAGATTGTTTTGTTGGGGTTTTTTTTTTTGTCACCTACCAAATGTTCAAGATTCTAGGTCAAAGCTTCTCAAACGCTCATGCATATTTTATTTCTACTTGTATACCTGATGTCACTTTAAAGTTTTCCCTCTTTGCTCTGTAGTCCACAAGTTCATTTCTCAAATCCTGCTACTCCTGGCAAATTCTGTTTTCCTATTCTTACCCCCATGTTTCATAGCTTTGTCTCATTCTCTCATATATAATGTAAAAACTGCCTTGATGTGTATTACACTGAACAAGTTGAGGTATATATACATATTATGCTGTCCTACCAGCTTAGGCACAACTCCCTTATGGGTAGAATGTGCATGTACATGTTTGTCTCATCCACTTTGACAAGGGAGTGATTTCTTTACTGCATACTCATGAAACCTCCTCTCCAGCTCTCTTTAAAACTGATTTATCCATAAAGGGTCTGGTCTTGAAAAAATATAGACCTCCAAAAACCTCATAGTTTTGCCAGTCTTTGAAATTAATGTCTTTTAGGACATTTCACCCAAATAAATACAGGTTAGTAAAGAGTAGAGAGATAAATGTGTGTGTGTGTGTGCCTGGTGAAAGGTACCAAATGACGCATTTTAAAGAGTCCTGGGTTTTGGGGGGTTTTTTTTGCATTTTCGTGTAAAGGGATCATTTCTGAAGAATATGTTTTTTGAATTTTTAGGATATCTTCAGTGGTTTTTTGAGATATGGTTGATTTTGTAAGGCAGGGTATGGATACAAAGCTCTGGGAAAACGGCTTTAAAGGTTCCCCTTTGTTTCTGCTTCAAATAGATTGATCTACGCTTCAACACGATCTGACAACACATTCGCTACTCACAAATCAACTTTAAAAAGCAGCTAAGATAAAAGAACAGCTTCCAAATGTTTATATTGCGTCTTCAAAACAAATTCGCCACCACCTTGAGCAAGAATTTTCAAGAAATTAGATCTAGGTTTTGTTTTAGTAGAGGTTTTACTGCACTCGCAACTGCGTAAAGTGAATGAGCGCCAGAAGATTAGAGGTGTTGTTAGGCCTACAAGAGAGTAACAAACATAAAAAAGAAGGAGAGATAAGGACGATAGAAGTTTGATCGGAAAGAAGGAGCAAACCACTCCAGAGCACCTGCCAACCACCCACATCTAGGTTTGGGCAGGGAAAAAATGTGCGATACAATTTGCTCTAAAAAAACCCGAAAGGGTATAGATGCACAAAGCTTTGCTTTGTTTACACGTTCTAGATATTCATGTGCACTACTCGCCATTAGAGAGGGGAGAGAATGACCTAAATTTTGGTATGCATTGTGATTTGGTAGACTTTATGAATGGACAAGAGAAACAATCCACAGTGTGCACTCGGAAAACCTATTTTCTCACACATTATTTAGGATTATGCAATATACCTTGTGTTATAAAACATCATTATAAATATGTTTTAAAGTAAAGGAAACTCAAGTGCTTGTTAGTAATGTAATCAATGTATTAATGGCTTAAGAATCCATTTTTAATGGAGCTTAGTTTTTGTCAAAAATTCTATTTTTAACCTTTGGCGTCTTTTGGTGCCTTTCACCAGGCACGCTCACAAATAAGTACCGGCCGAATTGTGCAGAAAACCTTTTGATAAACACACACTGAAACAATATGTTTGTCACTTGTCTCATTCTTTAATTGATACAGCAGCATGTTTTTCTTTTGACAACGAATATACTTTGTTCTTGCTTGAACTTGCTGCCGTGATGTCATCTGTTTTGAATTGATTTTTTTTGTTTGTTGTGTCTTTGCTTACTTTCCCTTTTTAAAAATATGGTCTTTACATATTATTCATTCTCAGTGCAGCTGTGCGACGCCTTTGCCTCAGTCAAGACAATGTCCGCATTGTGTCTGCATCGGATGACATGACAGTAAAAATATGGAGTTTAATTTCCACTGTTCATCCCATCACAATTGATCTAAATGGTGAGTTTGTTTCTTTTCCACATTTGTAAGTTTTTCCAAGAGACAAGAGTGATGCTTTGAATATACTGTGTACTAAGGTGTTTTTTTTAGAGAGAGGGTGGACGAAGTTGCGATTTTTGCTAGTATCTTGATTTCTGCACTGTATGGCATTAGAGTTCAACTGCACTTAAAAATGAGATAGCTGTGTACAAATATACATTTAAAAGTATGTCAGAAAACATACATGACCCTGGGCAACTCTAATTGCAAATTCAAAAGTTCTCAAAAAAAGGAAATGGGCGGGATGAGGAAAAAAAAGAAGTGCACAAAATGTTTTGTTTATCTTGTGTGCAGTACTTTGTTCAATGAGGACTGTACTCTAAATGCATTATATTTATGGAAAAGATTGATGGCTTCCAGTGCAGCTTAAATGATCCAGCCAAAATTATTAACCAGTTAATACCAGTGGAATATAGAACTGGGATTTTATTTGTCTTTTTCTATCATGAGTCTTAAAACTTATTATGTTGTAATTGGCATTTTGTCCTGAACATTGCTTTTGTCTTATAGTTCCTACTTCTCTCAAATTAGGCTTCTTATCTATATATGAGGCAGTGTGGTGAAATCAGGCGCTCGTCAAAATAATGAAATCGATGAAACAGGCATTTTTTCCTCCAGTTTGGCAATTTTTGTTGATTTTTTGTTTTTTTGCTCAACATATTTTATGGCAATATAAAAACACATTTACATGTAAAATTTACTGAAAAACGTTTAATGGCATAAAATATTTAAATTGTCAGTTTTCAAGGACTCCAGCTATAGAAGTTACCAAATTTTGGTGGCCTTTTTCTCGCAAATTTACCTCAGAAATCAGGTTACCCCCACCTCCTTCAAACGCAACTATCTCGACTTCTATTCAAGACAGATGGGTATTTTTTTCTTTGAAAGAAAGAGAAATAAATAAGCTTTAAGATTATACCAATAACTCCATATACCCAGAAATTGACAAGCGCCTGATTCCACCATATCTTGACACATGATATTTTGTTACTCATTGTCTTCATCTCTGTATTCACCACAATCTTCATTATCAAATTGTTGATTTTTTTTTAATCGTTGAGCTAGAGGTTATTATTATATGATTAATAGTTGGGTTTTTTAGGACAAGCCAATATTTTCTGAGCATTTGAAATGAATCCAGAGTAAAGAAATTTTTATAGTAATGATTTTTAAAGAATATATGTTAAAATTTATGTTACTCAGTAAGTTTAAACTTTTCCACAGAGCAAGTGTGTGATCTTCTGGTGACCCCTGTACCTGCTGCTCTTGTAAACCCTGATGCAAAGCCTCGTGTATTCCTCTCAAATCTCAAACGCAACATACATGAAGTAGAGGCTGATGGTGCTGAGGATGAAATCTTTATCGATATTCCTGTGAAATTGCCGGTTAGTATTTAGAGTTACTGCATGAGGCTTAGGCTTAAGAGGCTGAAAATCTTTATTTTTCATTTTATGTTTCACTTTTTAGTTGTTCCCTTGCATTCTGGAGAGGATTTGTTATTGTTTGAAGTTTTACATCCTTCCAGACAACATGTAGGTCACTGTTAACCATTTGGTCCCAGTCCAGGACACCTTGAATGTGTGAGAAGATCTATTCCATGAAGGATGAGCCTGGATTAGAAGCTCAAAGTTCCATGTGGCTGATTGATTCGTAACCAACTGAGCCAGATAGGTCACCTGAGTCATAGAGCACTATATTTGGTAAAAAAGTGAAGTTCTTTTCTTACTTTAAGCAAGTAATATTTTGGGTTGTTGGGGAGGAAAGTTTACTTGAAGAATAGTTTTGTTTTCATTTAATTTTAATAAGCATATGATAAGAGGCTAAAGATCTGTGAAGAAGAACATTTCATCGTAAGTAAGTCTGATTTAAGTAAATATATTATTTGCCAGTCTATTTTTGTCCTAATTCTGTTATTCTGTCCACTTATTGAAGTTACTATAAAAGGAAGTAGAATTGCAATATTATCATTTTTATGTAGAAAGAGATTTGCCGTAAGTGCAGATCATTTTAAGGCTGAGACAACACCAAAAAAGGTTTGCTCGAACATGAGGAAATAGTGTGTAAGATGCTCATGTCACCCATTCAATGAAGTTCTCAAAACTTGAAAAAAATATGGCATGGGTTGCTGTTGGTCCGGAGATAGAGGACTATACCGACCTAAGATATGCCTCTTGGTTATGGTTTTGATTGTTTGTTTTTTGTTGGTTTGGGGGGGGGTTGTTCTTCTTCTTTTTTTTTGGGGGGGGGGGGGTAATACATGCGCCATCTTGTTAAATTTTATCCCTTCTTAGAACTTTTACATACCTGTACTTTGTTGTGACATAGCACTTGCTTTTTTAAAATCTAGTATTTCTGACATTTTCAGAGTATTCATTTCCTTGCACTTTATTACCTTTTTTTCCATTAACTTTTAAATTCACAGCAGGTCTCAAAGCCACAGATGCAGATGCCTACCTCAGGGGTGGAAGAAACCAGTGTCACAATGCAAGGGAACAATTCATCACTTTTGAAGGTAATATTAAATATTACGTATTTCTGAGATTTTGGGATGTTAATCATCTTCAGTAATTTTTTCAAGATCCATATATGTGTGGTTGTATGCGAGTATGTATGTGTGTGCATACATTATGCAGTGGTTGCTGCTTATGATGATGTCACAGGTACACAGTTAGAACTCAATGATAATAAAACTAGATCTATATTGTTCTCTGATAATGATCGTGGGACACATAAAAATGGCGTTATTTTTTTCTGAAATCTCCATTTCGGCTAAAACTTCTGTCCATAAGATGTTCAGACTGCTTTCTTAACTCACCCAGCCCTAACGCTGATAATATCGGTGTGTACACGCAACGCCGACAGTATCGGTATGGAAAATTTTGCTCTCGTGACCGAAATAACTACTTTTGTGTGGAGCAGACTATAACCTAATTGGAAGAGTAACCTTTTTTCGATTGAAACAGACTATGAACAGAAGCGAAAGCCCAAATTTAAAACAAAGAAAGACATATTTGTGAACCCTGTGAGGGGGTGTGAAATTTGAATGCACTTCTTTTCTTCGCTTTTTGTTTACTTTTTGACTCTGCATATAGACCTTTTTCCATGGAGTATTGCATAAAAACTGTGACATATTTTGCCTTCAAATTTTCAATACACACAAATAAAGGTCTGAATAAAATGTGTATCAAATTTGGGAACAATATGTTAATATTTAGGGTTTTTTTCACTTTTTCAAAACGAGGTAAAAATCTCTAGGGAGAGCTGACAACCTGGAAGTGTAGGCCTAGGGTTGAGTGAGTTAAAGATGATGTGGAGTCCATATATGTCTGCTGTAGCCTGGTCAAGTTATTATGTTTCAGATTTTAAAACTTTGACAGACAAAAAAATTGGGGGGAAATGTCCAAGTATTTCCAAATGTTTTGTACTTTCATTTTATGTTTCATTTTTCAATTGTTCCCTTGCATTCTGGAAAAGATATGAAATTACCTGTTATTGTCTTCAAATTTGTGTTTAGATTTTGTTTTAACCATTGTCCAGGGGCTCTCGTGGCCTAGAGGTTAAGGTGCTGGCCTCTCTTTCAAAGGTTCCAGGTTTGAATCCGGGTAGCGACAGAAAAATTTTCTTTAAAATTGTCTCCTTTCACCTTTTTTCCTGCTTTCTAGCAATGTTCTGTCATCTGCTTTCGTCTCTACTTTCTGCCCCCACCCTCCTTTGCCCCCTCCTCTGGGCTCCTGACTCTTTCGGCAGCCTTTCTACAGCTACTCCTTGGCTCCTTCTTACTGCTGTCTTTCAGCCACACCCCTGATCTTCTGGTAGGAAAGATCTACACCTAGCCTTCTCAGACAACGGCGAAAAATCTCGGAGGTCCCGCGTGCAAGTTGCGCTTGTTAAAGATCCCTTGGTGGTCTAAAATCGATTAGAGTAGGCTTCGGCCGCCACCCGAGCAAATTTCAAAATTTCCTACCAACTGAAAATGTTTGGTGTGCCCCGCACGCTTATATGACCTTATGCAGTTGCGAGCGCCATAAAACGCTTACAAAAAATAGAAAAATATAAAAAACATTGTTCCTATACATGTACAGTAGGTTGTTATCTTTCTCCACATAATTTTTATTTTTACATTATTACTTCAGATTTGTTCTTTTGTTTTAAAATGTTTTTAAGACTTTCACCGTTATAACATGACTTTTATTATATTTTTACTTCCTGCAGAAGCACCCAGATGTTGTCAGCTTGAAGGATAAAGCAAACAAGTTGAAGAAAGCAAATGAAGAAATCTATCAATTTGCTCTCAAAGAAATTATTAAATAAAACATTGTAAAAGAAAAAAGTATTGTTCATGTCTTTTTCATCAGAATATTATTCTGATATAAGTAGGTTGAGAAGACTCTGTTCTGTTACAAGAGACAATTGTCTTTGTGCTTTGTAAGTGTACATCAAAGCAGATGGTTGGTGGGTGCTCTGGTGTGGTTTGAAGTGTACATCAAAGCAGATGGTTGGTGGGTGCTCTGGTGTGGTTTGAAGTGTACATCAAAGCAGATAGTTGGTGGGTGCTCTGGTGTGGTTTGTGAAGTGTACATCAAAGCAGATGGTTGGTGGGTGCTCTGGTGCGGTTTGCTCCTTCTCTCCTATCAAACATCTATCGTCGTGATCTCTCCTCCTTTTTTGTGTTTGTTACTCTCATATAATCCTCAAATCTTCATCACTTATATGACCTTTTTGTGTTTTAAGTGCTTTATGCTATTATCATGGGCAGGGTAAATCTGATTAAAACTGTCTAATTTCATGTATGTTCCTGACTCTGGTCAATTACTATTTGTTTATTACAACTTATAAAAATGTTCAACCCATTGACATCTGCGGTGTAGTGGTCAGGCACTTCACTGTCACACGCAGGAAACCTAAGTATCTCGGTCTTTCTGCTGGGATCCCTCTCAATCCGGATTGGCCCTGACAGGCATGCAAGGTCGGAAGTCCGCCTCCTAAATGATCAAAATTGTGTCAGTAGGGGTGTATGTGATGGTAGACTGTCAAATGAGGAGTGCAGAGGTGGGTCAGTATGATATTTGCATAATATTGACTGCGGTCATTACAATACTAAAAGTTCTGATATATACAGTGGCTTCCAAAAGGAACTTGAAAATGTTATCACCCAATCATCGTGTTATAGTCTTGCACTGCCCTCTCATGCAGCATACCAATTAAAAGCTGAATAAATTCTGCATCATTTTACACCTTAATATTTAATCTTTGTCAAGAGATGCCTGAGATATGGTCACTCAAAATTGACCTTAAAAAATCAGGCTTGGCAAAATTGTGCGAAATCAGAGAAATGTAAAAGTGTGTTTGCGCGTATAATGAGGTGCATCAACATTGGTTGAATGGACTTGTATTAAATATCACATGAAAAGAAAATATTATTGTCTCTACAATGAACAGTATCTTCTAATACTAATAATATTTTCAAACAGATTGGAAAACAAAGTAATCTAGTTACAACACACAAAACCTGGACTTTTAAGTAATACGGTACTTGTAGCAACGTATAGGCATATTTGTTGCTGTACACGTCGGATCTCTTCGTCTGCTTGTCTGTCTCTCTCTCTCTCTCTCTCTCTCTCTCTCTCTCACTCTCTCTCCCCTCTCTCTCTCTCTCTCTCTCTCTCTCTCTCTCTCTCTCTCTCTCTCTCTCTCTCTCTCTCTCTCTCTCTCTCTCTCTCTCTGTGTACAGTGTACATAATAATAATAGGCCTATATGTGTGATGTGTGTGCGCGCGTGCGGGTATTTGAAGGGGACCACTGATAGGTCCTTATATTTCTTTTCTTTCCCTCTTTTGTTTCTGTCTGTCTACCTTGCTTCTTCCGTCCACTATACGACCGTTATTGTGTCGAGGTGCTCCTTTTTACTCCAACTCAACGAGTACGTACGTATTGTGAGTCCAGTACACGTACACTTTCGTATCTTTTCGCAACTGGTGAGCCCAAGTTTGATCCTTATTATACATGTACTTATAGTAAAATGGATGGACATCTGTGAACTTGGAATAATGGTCATGTTACATTCTTTGCCTTGCACGCAAAAGACATGAATTCAGTTCTCAAAACAGGTGTTGTGTAGGCCTACTAACTACAAGCCAGGTTAGTCATGGTGGACAAGGTCGAAGTAGATAATTAATTTGCCTCCTGATATTATGGTCAGAATTAGTGTGTCTACGGATCGGAGATGCATGACAGAACACTTCTGATTCCCCAAAGATGGACGTTGAATTCGGAGCAACACGTGTGCGTTACATTTAACAGCATCAAACTTGACAAAAGAAGAAGGTACATGAATGTATGTTTTTGATCTTTTGTTTGTTTTGTTTTGTGCTGTATGTATGTGCTGTGAGTATGGATAGGGTTTCGGCTTCTTTTATTTTTCCTTGTGCTTTTTTTTTTCATTGGAACATGGGGATGGGTGGTTGGCGGGTGCTCTGGTGTGGTTTGCTCCTTCTTTCCTATCAAACATCTATCGTCCTTATCTCCCCCTCCTTCTTTTTTTATGTTTGTTACTCTCTTGCAACACGTCTAATCTTCTGGCGCTCATATGACCTTATGCAGTTGCGAGCGCTGTAAAATCTCTACTAGAAAAAGAACATGGGGTTTATATCGTCAGCAATCTCGATTAGAAAGAATCCGAGTAAGAGAACGATTCGTTCAGGATGATTAAGTAGCGGGGCTCTCGTGGTCTAGAGGTACACTCTCCCGCATTCAGTAGGTCCCGGGTTCGAAATTACAAGACATGGAAGGAACATTAATTTTCTTCTCAAGAATTTTCCCCTTTCACCTCGGATCCTTTCAGTCTATCTACTCTCTAATCATGTTCTTTTTGCTTTAGTAGAGGTTTTACGGCGCTCGCAACTGTATACGGTCATATGAGTGCCAGAAGATTAGAGGTGTTACAAAGGGAGTAACAAACATAAAAAAGAAGGAGGGGAGATAAAGACGATAGATGTTTGATAGAAAAGAAGGAGCAAACTACACCAGAGCACCCGCCAACCACCCACAAATCATGTTCTGTCTGTCCTGCTTCCATCTCCACTAACACTGTGCTGAAAAGTGTTAGAAGAATTTAAGTTGTCTTCTTTTTTCCCCTTCCAA